TGTATCAAACCATGAAGTGTCTTCCTGCTAAGTCTAAATTTAAAGGCATTGGTATAAAACATCTGTGCCATCAAACTCCCCAAGGGCTTTGGAACACAAATATTATACCGCTACTATTCTAGTTGTTTATTTATAACTTTAGTTATGTCCACACACACATATATACATTTTCATGTGTGAAATTGATTAAAAATTTTAACTACAAATGTAGATGTGTAAATTGAACTTCTGAAAATTTGTGTTAAATAACACAGAAGAGAGCTTTCTGGTAAACCAAAATAAAGCATCATTAAGGGTAATCTGTAGTTTATTCATAGGATCCAAAATATATTTACTAAACATTGAAATTTAATATTGGCAAAAATGTTGATATTGTAGTGTTTTTATTCTTTTTTTTCTTTAAATTATAAACCTCTAGAAGCCTTGTCAAGGCCTAGAAATATGTTGTTGAGATGTTAAGGTCTGGGAAGTGATTACATGGCAGGTAGGTGTTTAAAGAATCACTGAATTATACAGTTACGATTTCTGCATTTTATGGCATACAAGTTATACCTCAACAAGAGTTTTAAATAATGTACTTCTAAATAAAATGAAAATACTATGGTTTCAGAAAAGTTGAGTGTAGTGCTAATCTAAGCACTCAGGATATTTTCTTATGAGTATGAGTTATTGCTTTTATAGAAACAGGACAGAGCATTACCATGAAGAGAAAGTTAAATATGATTTAAGAAATGTGTATTACTTTCAAAAATGCCCTTGATGCTGTTAGGAAGTGTCTCTTCATCTCAGCTCCCAGGGCTCATGATTTACTTTTTTTCCCGTTGCAGTACTTGGGGTGCATTGAAGTTCTACGCTCAATGAGGTCTCTTGACTTCAGTACAAGAACGCAGATTACCAGGTAAGCCCTTTTGAAAGTGGACTCCTGTGGTTTTATGTAAGAGAGAAATGATTTCCGAGGTATCAGCCTAGAATTTTCCAGAGAGAAAGGCTGCCCCTTGAGTGCTGGTTACAGGTGACAGGGAGTCAGGACCCACTGAGTTTCAAGACTTCCACATGTTCATCCATGTTTGTGACATGTGTCTCTTGACATAGCACCCTGAAGGACACTCCCCCACTTCCAAGCACTTTTTGTAATTAAGCTGCAGACAGATGGAGTGTTTATGTTTTTTCTTTAACAAATGAAACTGTAATACCAGATTGATATTTAAAATTTGCTGAACTGTGTTCTTTTTTTAAAAAAAAAATCAAGATGTCAGGACAGAACTTCCAATAGTATACACAGAAAATAAAATGCATATAATTGGAAGTAGAAATATTAATGGGAGTAGTAATTTAAAAAGCAGACCAATTCTTTTAAAGTGTCAGTGACTTTTAACAGGTTTATATATTCTCCATCATCAACTAAATTCTAAATTTCTTGAGGGCCAGTTCTGTATTTAAGCATTGTTTTTATAAAGTTCATAGCCTAATACAGTTTATACATTTAGAAAAAATGCCAATTTCAAGTCATCTTGAAGAGGAGAACTGGAAAACTAGGACTGGGTCTGTTAAAAAGCTACATTTCCAACTTATGTTGCTTTGGCAGTTGTGGAATTTTTAATCTAAATTGTGACCTCAGAAAATGCCTCGTATTTATTTCATTCAAATCATTCTATTGTATATCTTTGGGTTAGTAAGCCAGTCTAAAGATTGAGTGTTAGAAAGCAATTATTTATAGTAATTAACTGCTAAATAATGTACACACCTTAATTCTATGTTTAAGCACCCCAAGATACATCATCTTCCTCACTGAAGAAATTCGTGTTCAGAAGACTTGATACTTATCCTTTCTCTGACACTACTCAAAACACACATACATGGTGGGAACGAACCGACCTTTGTAATCTACACTAAGGGAATAACCCATAGCCACATGTTCATAGAAAATGGCTTATAAAAATTGTCAAGGCCAAAGAATGGTATTTTGAAGTGATAGCATTTAAAAGATAAGTTTGAATGTTTACTTAGTCAATCATTCATTCATCCTGCCCCTGAAAAAGGCATGTGCCATGCAGCCTCTGTGAGAAGAGCTTTCTGCCATGTGCCTGGAAGAATACTGGAATCTATGACACTGTTCACCTTCTCCTGTGTGGTAGTGATTATTTTTAAAGAGAATTGTCGGCCATTTCTACTGAATTCCCTTTAGAGATATTAGAACTTTTGAGATGATTAAGTTGTTTTAATTCTCCTGATATACTGAGCATTTAGTGCTGGCTGTACATGTGCNTGGAGCCATAAAAGACCCCGAATAGCCACAGCAATCTTGAGAAATAAGAACAAAGTGGGAGGTATCACGCTACCCGACATGAAATCATACTACAAGGCTACAGTAATCTAAACAGTGTGGTACTGGCATAAAAACAGACACATAGATCAATGGAACAGAATAGAGAGCCCAGAAATAAACCCGTCCATATATGGTCATTTAATCTATGACAGCAAAAGCAAGAATTTACACTGCAGTAAAGATAGTCTATTTAATAAATGGTGCTGCAATGTTGGAGGTTGTGTTTATAGATGCTGTGAAATTCATCATGGTATTTCTATAACATTGTGATGTTTGTTTGTCATGGTATTGGCATAATTGTGTAGCATTGGTGGTGCTATTGACATATCTTGTGACAGGGGTGATGGTGTAATTCAGATAATGCTATAACTTGGTCATAGCACCGACACACCTTGGAGATATTATGAGTCCAGTGCCAGACCACCACAATAAAGCAAATATCATACTAAAGTGACTCACATGATATTTTTGGTTTCCCAGTGCACATAAAAGTTATGTTTACAAAATACTTTAGTCTATTAAGTGTGCAATAGCATATGTCTGAAAAAACAATGTACATACCTTAATTAAAAAATAAAGTTTTGTTAAAACATACTATCATCTGAGCCTTCAGCAAGTCTTAATCTTTTTGCTGGTAGAGGGTCTTGGCTGGATGTTTATGAAAAAGAAATATTTGCAAGGCAGAAGAAAGCAAAGCACAATAAAACAAGGTATGCCTGTATTTACACAATTATATGATGATGGTGGTGTTGGCATTAACATGTCACTGCGAAGTAGTGGTGGTATTCATGTGAATCTGTGACTTTAGTCAGGATGTCACATAACTCGGCCTCCTTGGGGTCATGGTATTCACAAAACTGCAATGAAGGTGGAAGCATTTGCATAACTACTATGGTGATCATGGTATCAACATATCTTTGTGGTGTTGTTGGTGGTATTCTCTTAGATCTGTCAGGATGGTTGTGATATTCAGATAACTCCATGTGATGGTTGTGGTGGCCTTTATATAACTGATGGTGTTAGATGTACTAATCCTATAACTCTGCAAAGTTGGTGATGGTCTTCACAAAATTCAACGATGTTGGCAGTGGTATTCGCATAACTGGTGTGTTCTCCATGTAGGCCTGCAAGCGTGGTCATGGTGTTCACACAACTGTGAGGTTGTTGGTTTTAGTCACATAGCTCTGTAATGGTGGTGGTGGTATTCATATGCCTCTTCAGTAGTACTAAACATACTCTCATAAATATGAGATACTAGTGTATTCAAATGACTCTGCAATGGTGATTGTGGTGGTATTCACATAATTCTATGATGGTCATGGTGCTTATATTTACATAACTCTGCAATGGTAGTGCTGGGATACATAAAATGATGAAACCCTAGTCATGCTATTTACATAACTCTGTGATGATAATAATGGTATTCACAGAACTCTGTGATGTTGGTGGATTTGGCGTTCACATAACTCTGCAGCTCTGGTCATGATAGTCATAAAACTATAAGCCTGAATGTGGCATTCAGGTAATTCTGTGATGGTCATGGTGGTATTAATATAACTCCTCTGTGATGTTGGTGATCATGGTACTCAAATATCACTGCAGTGTTGCTAGTGGNATGGTTGTGATATTCAGATAACTCCATGTGATGGTTGTGGTGGCCTTTATATAACTGATGGTGTTAGATGTACTAATCCTATAACTCTGCAAAGTTGGTGATGGTCTTCACAAAATTCAATGATGTTGGCAGTGGTATTCGCATAACTGGTGTGTTCTCCATGTAGGCCTGCAAGCGTGGTCATGGTGTTCACACAACTGTGAGGTTGTTGGTTTTAGTCACATAGCTCTGTAATGGTGGTGGTGGTATTCATATGCCTCTTCAGTAGTACTAAACATACTCTCATAAATATGAGATACTAGTGTATTCAAATGACTCTGCAATGGTGATTGTGGTGGTATTCACATAATTCTATGATGGTCATGGTGCTTATATTTACATAACTCTGCAATGGTAGTGCTGGGATACATAAAATGATGAAACCCTAGTCATGCTATTTACATAACTCTGTGATGATAATAATGGTATTCACAGAACTCTGTGATGTTGGTGGATTTGGCGTTCACATAACTCTGCAGCTCTGGTCATGATAGTCATAAAACTATAAGCCTGAATGTGGCATTCAGGTAATTCTGTGATGGTCATGGTGGTATTAATATAACTCCTCTGTGATGTTGGTGATCATGGTACTCAAATATCACTGCAGTGTTGCTAGTGGTATTCACATAACTGTAACAGTGTTCACAATATGCACATTACTCTATGGTGGTGGTGGGATTCACATAACTGCAACGTTGGTCATGGTTTTCAATAGCTCTGTGACTGTGGGCATAGCATTCAGATAATCTGCAGTGGTTGTTGTCACATTCACATACCTGTGATGGTGGTCATGAAGTAGTCCCCTAAGTTCGTGACTGTGGATGTGAAATTTGCATAAGTGTGCATTGGTGGTGATGATGGTATTCATATATCTCTTAGAGGTAGTGACATTGCTATGATACAACTCTGCCACTTTGGTCATGGTAATTACTTCCCTTTGTAATGTGGCTGATGATGGTATTCACAGAACTCTGGGATGTTGTTATAATGTTCACATCACTGTGGCGGTGTTGGGTGTGGGAATCTCATAACTGCAAAGGGGGCTGTGCTCCTCGTGTATCTTAGAGACAGTGGCAGTGGTCCTCGTATAGCCTGGCCATAGTGGTGTGGCGTCCACACCACTATGTAGTAGTAGTGGTGGTGGGATTCGCGTAGCCTGCACTACTGTTCATAGTTTTCATGTGACCTGTGACATCATGATGGCATTTACACAATTCTGAAATATTTGTCATGGTACTCATGTAACTCTGCAATGGTGGATGTGGTATTTGCATAAGTCTACGCCTTTGGTTATGGTGGTAGTCACATAACCCTCTATTGGTCCTGGTATGCATGAGTCTGTGATGTTGGTCGCTGTAATCACAAGACTCTGCAGTGTTGGTGGTCATTGAATTCATATGTCTCCACGATGTTGGTTGTGGTATCTCTACATAACTGTGATGGTGGTGGTGGTATTTGAATAACTCTGTGTTATAATGGTGGTGGTTTCATGGGACTATGCCATGGTCAGAATAAAAGTCACATTTTATGGGTAGAGGGACTTAGGTTTCAGAGACGTTTAAAGCTTTGCTTAAAGTTACATAACAAGCTATGACACAGCCAGTCTCAAATTCAGGTTTTCTGAATAATTCAAATGCAGTCTTTTCTGTATCAAACCATGAAGTGTCTTCCTGCTAAGTCTAAATTTAAAGGCATTGGTATAAAACATCTGTGCCATCAAACTCCCCAAGGGCTTTGGAACACAAATATTATACCGCTACTA